TATTAAATTAAAATCGAATATATATTTTTATTTTATAATAAAACTAAAACCTTTAATAATCGAATTGGCTTTAATGTCATAAAAATTATAACAAATCGTAATATAATGCGTTTTTTCGCTGTAGGCTATGCAATTTATAACAATTGCATTTTCAACTCATATATAATTTAATAAAAAATTCTATACATTCTTATCAATTATTTTAACACAACAAAAATAATTCGCAATATGTTGACGTCAGGCGTACATTTTTTTCCCCCTTAAAAACAAAAAAAAAAAAAAACTCATTCATGTCGACTCTCACGTCTGCCTGCCTTAACCGAAAAAAAAAAACTATTCTTCTAATTGAATTCTAAATTTTTTTACACACAAAAAAAAAAAAAAAGAAAAAAAACTATTTACATAAGAAAAGTATTTTTGTGATTTTAATTTTAAAAACACACAGAACACATAATAGAAAGTTTTATTCAGATATTTATCACAGTTAATTATATTAATTATATCGCTTTATGCACGGAAAGCTTGTGGTGTATATTTGACAAATTCTCTAAAGTACACCTATCGACATTAATTTTTTCGTAATTGTCAAGTGGTCTAAGGAATTTTCTTCGGCCAAAAAAAAAAGATGGACAAAAGACAAGGAAACTTCTCGCATACATTTGAAGATGATTGAAAAGCTGTCACGCTTGGCGAGGAATGCCGTCTCGCCAGAAAAGTTGTCAAGAGAGAGAGACTTAAACGCGCTTAGAAAGGAACAACCGATTACTTTGTGCTGTCAGTACTTGCAGCGGAGCATTCGCTGACTGACGAAGAAAGTAGATGAACGATAACTACTTCATCCCTCTATCATAATATCTAGAAATTCGAAACAAATATCAAAGACCACGAGATGCATATTCGTTCTTCAGCAAATCAATTGAGTGATTCGGAAAGAAATTTAGTTTTTTTGGCCAAAACAAATATCGATTTCTTTGTAGTGCATAAATATTTTATCAAGAATTCGGTCGATATCAAGAGATTTAAACTCTCGGTGATCTGATTAGTTGTCTTGGTCTTTATTTTGCCTTTATTAGCTTGTACTGTCCTTTCAGATGCAAAAGCACTGAACTGAAATTTTGCAAAGCGATCTTGGCACTGATGTTTTGTCCATTCATCCTTTCCTTTCCTTTCCTTTATCTTTTCGCTAGTAATTGGAACGAAGTACGCCGAAAATGCTGTTTCCGTCTTTTCGTATTTCGTAAGGCACAATAACAAAACCTATCGCGCAAAATCAAAGTAAATTTTTCCAATGCAAGCATGGCGATATCAGCTATCAAATATATGAAGATAGCGGCCTTTTAATGACTCTCCGAATAAACTAATCCTTTGCGAGACTCCTGTTATAACCAAAGACGAAACCTAGTTCGTAAACTAATTTTCAGAGTTAAATAGAAAAGTGTTGGTTAAACCAATACTAGCGTCATTAGACATAGACTAAGTACAATATGTGCTACTCTGTGTGCATTAAGATGTTAGTTACATCCAAATCGATGTCTCGATGAATCCTTCAATATCTTTGATAGACTCTATAAAATTGAATAGTGAGAACAACGGAGTCTTTGTCCATCTACTTCTTAATGCTCACAACCGCATCAATCAAGAATGGCTATTCTTAACGGAATATTTCAACTTCTTAATGGATTATTGTTATTATTATAATAATTTATGTAAGCTAGCGAACTAAACTCTAGTTAAGATTATCTGCTTCTTTTTTTAGGAGCGATGGATTAAATGATTAATCGCGAAACATAAAAATGAATAAAAGGAATATTTTGTATACTTACGTGAATAAATTGGACAAAAATGTCTACCGGAATAGAAAAAACGATCTCGATAAGCTGAGAGGTACATTGGATATTGATAGAAGAGAATAAGCAATTTTTACATATTTTTGCATGACTTAATCCACTATTCACCAACTTTAAAAAAAAAAAAACCCAGATTTCCGCAGACAGAGAAGCAATCCTATATAAAATCATATCTATCTGTAGCATTCACATTCACATTGCCCACACCTTTGAAGTAATTATCAGCCTGTTTCTCCCTTTGCTTTGAAAAAAATCATAAAAAGACTCAGTACGACTGACTATCTTTCAAATTTTTGTTTTTTTTTTTTATTTTTCTATTTAAAAAGCATTTGAACCTTAATGCGCAAAAAAGTAATTTAAACTAACAGACTTCGAATGCAAGCTTCAATATTACTTGAACCTGCCATTAGATATTAACATGAAAAGAAATTGTTTTACTATTACTTATGGTTTTCTATATCAGTCGAGATGCAAAGTAATTACTTCCTATCAGCAGAAATGAATGCTAAATGAAACAGTTTTGACTTGTGTTGTAAAAACTCGTTAAATACGCTATGTAATGCAAAACAAATTTCTTCCTAAAACTGTTTGATCTCACTCTTGACATCTCTAGCTGACATAAGACAATTCCAGCAGTTTTCATTTAGGATTTTGAAAAAAAAAAGATACGTTTTCATGCATAGTTTAGCTTTAGTTTAGTTTATCCAGTCGTGAATGAAAAAATGAAAAAATTTCCAGCATATAATTGGTTTTAAAAGACTCCATTAAACTACAAAGTACATACAACTAAAACTTTTAAGAAGTGGGAGAGTGACATTGTTTTTACTATGGTCTTGGTCACTAGAACTCGGATAAAGTTTATAAAATTACGATTTTTTTATTCGAATATTTTTTTTTAATATGACTCCCTTCGGACTCAGAGGACGGCAGCTGTCAGAAAAAAGAGAAGAAATACAAAGAGACAGGAGATATGTGCTCGATCGATAAATGTCATGCCTTTACCGGTTGAACATTCACTATAGCTACGAGTAAAGAAAGCTTTGTCGCACTTGAGATTTAAATCTGTTTCGAATTGCATTGAATTGGACCTGTCAGTCCACAATCCGTTCTAAAAAATAACTGCAAAAGCATGCATAGAATGAAGGATCGGGCGAAAGCATATGTGCCCTCAATTTAGGGCAGCTATTGACGTAATCCGTCAGCAGTGGAGACCCACTTTGAGGAGACAAATGCGAACGGAATAAAGTGGAACTAATGAACGATTTATTTTTGACATGTTTCAAGCCACGTGTACTCTTTTCGAATACATCAAATGCGAAAGGGTAGGTTTTCAATAAAAAATACATATATGTGTATTTTTTTTTTTCCCCTTCTTTTATTTATGAGGGGATATGTAAATTTTTTTTTATAGAGTTAAATATTCAAATAATAGAACAGGCCATATGACAAACAAAAATTTTTGTATATTGTTTATTTATTATGAAGTACAAGCCTAGTTAACGATTGAAATATTCATTGGCAATTGATAGATATGTGATATGTGCCGTTATCGGTGCACATCTCAAACCGTATTGTAAACAAGGCTACATCAAACAACACAAGGTACAAATGACTTTCAACGTGTGCCAAAAAGGGTACACGGTGAAGGGATTCGGTTCAAATGATGTAAATGCAGGCCTTCACCATCTTTGAGCGTTTGTCTGGTCTTGTCTCTGTCTACTATTACAGATGTGTGTGAAAATTCCTTCCGAAGTAGAACGTAGGATTTTCTCTTTTATTTATAGTTTTGTAAAAATCATATGATAAATATCATTATCATGTATTAATGACAAAAAAATGGAAAATTATTTTGCAATTTATGCGATGCCTCACTTCGTTTGCAAAATTGATGGAATTTCTAAAGTTTATATTTCCAGCTAATGGCATTTTATAGCCTCTTGTCAAATTGTGAGACAAGAGCAGCAGCAGTAGCAGCAGCAACAGCAGCGAGCACCCTAAAACGTTTGCATTTGCGTTCGAGAACACAAATTAATGTCGAAAGATTTCACTGAATTTTGTATTTCATAAACAAAATTCTCAAAATTCACAAAAATGTTTTGAATTGTTTTATAAAATGTTACAAAGAAAAACAAAGTGAAAAAAAAAACAAAAAAAACAAAAAAAATACGTGATGTGAAATTAATTTTAACACTCCATAAAATTAATTTCAAAGAATTTTAATATTCCACACATTCCACACAGCAGCACAATAAAACAACAACAACAACAACAACTACAACAACAGAAACAAATACGGACATGCATAAGTACAAGATACACTTGTGTAAATGTATTTAATACGTTATTCAAAAACAAGAAAACAAAACAACAACAAAAAAAAATTTCCTGATAAATCTTTTTTTATCTCATCAAACTAATCATTAACGATAACACAGTTGATGTTCCTTTTTTTTTTTAATATATAGATACTTAAGGAATGCAGAAAATACCACTTGAAAGGCCATAACAAACAAATAGCTTTAGCTCACTTTACATTTAATGCAAGAAAAAATGTTCAAAGTGTTCAATATTTGACTTTAAAGACTTTGGCAATATTAAGGTATTGACTAATATATTAAATATTCGATTAATAGTTGTAGTGTTTGTTGCTTACTTTCTTTCCATTTATGTGATCTAATAAATTGTTGATGCAAAAATAGAACAACTTGAAATTTAACTATCCTCTTACAAAGTAGATAAACGCAATTTATTTACGTTAATAATGCAAAGAATTTTTATGAGATCAAAATAAATTTGAATTGTTAATCTTATCGCAAGATATCTGATATATTGTAGAAACCAGAACGGAGATCTAACGAATAGCAGACAAATGTTGTCGCCAAGAGTTATTTTTTTCATTTTTTTTTTTTTGCTTTCTTTTAAACGAGTTTTTTTGTTTAGAAAACAGATAAATCTCTAGAAAAGAGCACATATAAAATATAGATATTAAGTAATGTCAACAACCGGAACTGGCTCTGCCGAATGCTAGCTAGCTAAGGCATACCACAGTCCACTTTTGAAATTTCTTTTCTTTTCTTTTCCTTTCCTTTTTTTTATATATATTTTATTTTTAATTATTTATTGGAAGGTTTTTCTTCTTTACGCTATTTATAGTTACACAAAACCGCAATCTTTTGAGGATTGTGTAGGTGATGAATTGCCGGTAGGTTGGGAGGAAGCCTATGATCCTAACATAGGTCGTTATTATATTAATCATATTGCTCAGACAACGCAATTAGAAGATCCCCGCCAGGAATGGAAAAGTGTACAGGAGCAAATGTTGCGTGATTATTTGTCCGCTGCCCAAGATCAATTGGAAAATAAACGTGAAATGTACGATGTTAAACAACAAAGGCTGTTAATAGCCCAAGAAGAATACAATCATCTTAATAAATTAGCAGCAAGTCGTAGTAGCTGTAAGTATATTTAATCCATTTGTTGATCCAAATTATTAACTTTTTTAATTAAATTTTAAATTTTCTAGTATGCTCTTCTTCGTCGTCGTTGAGTCGCCATGATCCTGAACTGCTTAGGGCTGATCTAATGTTGGCCAAGGAACGCGTACGCCAATTGAAACAAGAATTGAATCATATAACCAATGATATTTCTTATACTGAACGTGGCATGAATACTTTATACTCAGTAGGTGAGAAGATTAACGCTCGTCAAAACGGTTGTTATGATATTACCGAAGTGCAAGCTATACGAGAGGAAATGCTTAAAGTTCACAAATCCCTAGTGTCGGGAGAAAAAGTCCGTGAAGAGTTGATGCGTAGCCTAGTGCAAATTAAAAATGAACTTAGTCGTCAACAGATAAATGAAGAAAATGCCGATCTAATGAATGCATCGTCGCCATTTGATCGTGTCTGTGTGGCTTCGCAAACAGATCTTTGCGGCCCCGGTGATAATTTAAACAGCGGTGCTCGCTTTGCCGAAATGGCAAAAACAAAACTCCAATACGCTGAATGGCGCAAACATATAAAACGTCTGCAACAACAATTAGCTGATCATGTCGATCGCATAGAACCCGGTCAATTGGAATCAGATAAGGATCGCATTCTTTTAATTCAAGAGAAGGAAAAACTTTTAAATGAATTAAATAGCATTTCGCTTAAGTCTCGCACTTCCGAAGAAATTCAAGTCATTCAAGAGACGCGAAGAAAATTGGAGGAAGATTTGAACGAGGCGTATGAAGCCACTAATCAACAAATTAACAATCGCTTGCGTTTCCATGAGGAGAAACAATTGCTTTTGGGTAAATTGCAAGAGGCTCTTAAGTCAACTAAAATGTTGGAAGAAAGATTGAAATCATTTTCTTCGGAAAGCACTTTCTCGATTAGTAGTGGCTCTAGCATGGGCTCTCTTTCTACGGCGAGCAGCAAAAGTGCCCTGAGTTTTACAGATATTTATATAGATCCCTTCGCAATAGATCCGCAAATCGATGTCATTGATTTGCACCGTCGATCGCAACGTCTATTCCAACCGCACCAAGCTCAACCGTTGGCCCAGCAAACTTCCTCTGATCAAGTAATGAGTCATCCGCAACTTCAGCAACAACAATCCTCGGAAATTTCACTGTCACCGCGCAGTAGTCTTTCTATGGAAACTCCACCCGCCTCGCCAATGAAATACAATCCGGTCACCGAGCAAACACAGCTTAATGTGTCCCAGCAGCAATTGTTAAAAGAAGAGCCCACGTACGCTAATGCTGGCGCTGTACTACAGTCCTTCTATCAGTCTGCTCACTTAACGTCTGCGAATAGAACACATCCCTACGATTTAGATTCTACGGTTTTGGACTGCATGATGCTAGAAGCTAAACTGCAAAAACTTAATATGTCATCGCCTCGTAACATAGGTCCATTATCGCCGATATCGGAGAAGCCATCACTGCTGGATTTACCGCAGGAGATATTAAGTCGTTCATCATCCACATCAAATACGCGTTCAGTATCGGCAGCCGTAAGTAATGAGTCGGTGGCTGGTGACTCGGGGGTCTTTGAAGCTTCACGGGCACATTTACCTCGCAAAGAATTGGCGCAAGTGCAAATTGGTTTAAAATATTTAAAAAAGGAAGGTGTCTTAGTAGTATCACTAGAACGAGCGAACAATCTCCTAGCGCTTTTATCTTCATCAGTGGAAAATTCACAAGTGTAAGGCGAGAGTTTTTCCAAAAAATTGATCCCATATTTCACCCAATTTGTTTTCTATTTATCATTACAGATACCTACGAGCTGCCTTGTTACCGAATTCGTTAACGTCCATACGCACAAAAGCCATGCCCGATTTTCAGAAACCAGTATTTAACGATACATTTGCTGTCCCCATAACTTTGAGTAAATTGTTAACGAAAAGTTTGCATGTAACAGTTATTAGCATGACCGGTCAGAAGGAGGAAATTATAGTAATATTCCAAAAAAAAAAAAAACAAACCTATTTAAAATTAGAATTAATTAAGAATTGTTAATATATTCTAGGGCACTGTACAAATAAGTATGGCGGAATTCAATCCGGATGATTCTACCTTAAAATGGTATAATGTATTGAGCTCCAAATTTATGCCGACGTTCGAACCATTAGATATGCCTTCGACCAGCGCAACAACTGTAGCGACGGGATCGGTGCCAGCAGTTCACTGTACTTCGACAGTTAATACGGTAGCTCCTTCCCCAGCTCATCATCCTCCCGTGAATGCGAACAGTAAAGAAGAATCGTCCGATGAATCTACGATAACATCATCGCAAACTTCCACGTTGACCCGCAACCAAGCGCCACCTTTTGAAATGCAAGCTCAGATTGCTGAAGATGTGCGTGAAAATTTGGAAATTAATGATGACGAAGAAGAAGAAGAAGGCGATGGCGAAGAAGAAGACGACGATGAAGAAGAAGAGGACGACGAGGAACTGGAAGGAGCTGTGGGAATATCAAATGGTAAGTAAAAAAAGATCCTATCAATATCTCAAGCGATGAAACTGAAAGATCAATTTGCCTTTCGTCAAAACACAGATTACACCAAAAAAATTTTAGATGCCTACATGTACGTAGACAAGGAAACAAATACAGAATGTGCATTTCCACCTGAAAAATCAAGATCCCAACAGGGACAGCAAGTCAATGATGATCGACCGGTAAAAAGATCCCAAACATTTACACCGTCAGCAGCGGTGGGTAAAAGTCGCTACATTTGCCGTCTAAATCGCAGCGATTCCGATTCGGCTATGCATTTCGGTGTTACACCTCATCCCTTTCATCGCGGTGCTGCCGAAAGGCGATCTTTACGTTTCCACACCAAAGCACCAAAGCCTACTACAAGTAAGTCTTTATTAAATAGATTAAGTAAAAGCGAAATAAATTTACGGGAGCATCAACACTTTTTTTTTCTTTTTTTGCAGAACTTCATCATACTCATATACCACGCACTAGTTTAGATTTAGAGCTGGATTTGCAAGCTCAGCATAGCAAATTGGATTTCCTCAATGATCAAATAGCTAAACTACAAAATCTAAAGACAGCGTAGGTTGAACAAGCGGGACGAAATCATATCAAGCTTTTTTAAAAAATTTCCATATTTTTTTTTTATTTCATTGTGTTTTCTTTCTATAGATTGGAAAAGGCCCGAGATAATAGAGATCCTTTGATTGCTGCTTGGGCTATTGAAAATGAAGAATTCCAGCGCTTAGTTGAGCGTGCTGATCCTGCAAAATGTCCCGAAGAGAAACAATTGCAAAAATTGCTAATGAAAACTGCTAAAGAAATTTACAAATTACGCAAAACTAAAGTACCTAAAGGGTGCCCGGACTTGGTGTCGTTCAAGTAAGCGTATACTCAATAAATATGGCTTATATAACATATAAAATGTTTTCGTTCATTATTTTCTCATTTTTTTTTCTCGTTTATATTTTAGAGAGAAAATTTCCTTTTTTACACGTAAAGGATTATCGGTACCGGAATTGCCAAATGATTTTACGCTTCCTGAAGCTCATTCAATTGAAGAAGAGGAAGAAGAAGAAGTAGAAGAAGAGGAAGAAGAAGAAGATGATGATGATGAAGATAACGCTGCCGAAACAGCAATTGCAATTAATACGGCATTGGTAGCCAGTAGTTTAAGGAACAAGAATCTCAGTGAAAACCATAGCGGAGTAACGGGTCGTAGAGCAATGAACATTGCTGCTATCAACTCAAAAGCAATAAATACAAAACAAGAAGAAATTGAAGAGAAAAATTCTGCAGAAAGCACCAAAGATCAACAGGCTAAGCAAACGCAGCAAGAAGAACAGCAACGTTTTGAATATGTTGTCGATCGTGATTACGGTGTTGAGGTGTAAGCTGAATGAATCTAACTGTAGATATATATATATATATATATATATATATATAGATAGATATATACATATACCTACAAAAGGACCGACGGAGAGAGAGATTAAAGAGATCGATAGATAATTAATGTATAAAGCCAGAGATTATTAAAAATTTTTAACTTAAAGCTAAATTTAAATTTATATATAAAATTAATTTATTAATAACGACTACAGTTTTTCATAGGATCATTATATAAGCGCGCTTCATTTTCGATAGCTTCTTTTGAGTTCATATCGCGACATTTTTCCAAGTCACCTTTGACTTAGCAAACGCTATCAGTGTTAATTATGAAATAATAAACTTTTGGGGAAGTTTGAAGACCGTTTGACTACCGCCCTAATTGTTCATAGAGACATTACTAGCTAAGACATCATCAGCAGCAACACAATCAAACGAAAGAAATGTATAGATCTATACTTGACTCTAGAAATGAAAGTTACACAATACAGTTCTAAACTACGTTACGGTCAGCTGCGACGCAAAACTTTGTCGCATAATCATTCCGACAAACACGTTCAGTCCAATTCCCCTCTCAACAATTTTAATTGTTGTGAATTAATCCAGCATTTAATCAAAAGTTTGCTTGAAGTTTGCAAAAATACCCACAAATATGTGAGGTTTTGTTACGGGATAACATGCTGGTGAAATTATTGAGCGAGACTTTCTGCAAAGCTCAATAGGACTCGACAACGTATCGTATACGTTAGTTGGTTTCGATACGGAGGCATTAAATGTCACGTAACGGACAAAGATGTTAGTAGAAAGGAAGATGTTAGGTGAAGGAACGCTGCTAAATCAATGAGACACCCTACATTCGCGTGGAGTACATAAATGTTTATTAGGAACTAAAGAAAGAGGAAATACAGAGAGAAACGACAGATAAATTGTGCCTTATATTAAAACTTACATTTCTTTTAATGAAATTGTAGCATAATTTTTTTTTTTATAAATATTTTTACGAAATACCATTAAAGTGTCAAAAGAAAAGTTAGTTCTTCCATAATGCTAAACACGTTTAAGCAAAAATTTTACAAATCGTGAAGAATGAAAGGGAAGAATATTGAGAAAGATATTAGTTAGTGTTGATTATATATGTAAAATTTTATAAAAAAAAAAAACAAAAAAAAAGAGAGAAAACATTTTAGTGTAATTTATAATTAATTACGTAAGGAATGTGTAAAGCGCTCACGTTTTTGTTGAGTTTTCATTTAAGCTAAAAAGAAAAAAAAACAAAAAAAAAAAACAACAATGTATACAAACAAAGTCGCTTATTTTCACAGTGACCTAAGTCTAATTATATTAAAATCGTTTTTTGTATGTTAATGTTTTAAGTGAAAGGAGAAAAAAAAATTCATCAAAATGGAAAAATAACGATGATATGTAAATATTGCATAAGTCAGTAAGCGGTGGCTTTGCGGAACGGATTTGGGTCACTTTCAAAAGCGCCTCACATATACATAGAAAATAATAAATTTTCGAATATAAGCAAAGTAGTAAAGTAGTAGTAGTAGTCTGCAAAAAACTCATCCCCACAATCTTTTCTTACGCGTTCATCTTAGTTTTCCTATTTTTTTTTTTCAATTCGAGATCAAGTTTTACTTTTTACTTTTATTTCTTTGTACAGTGTTCTTGCTCCCGCTCCCCTTAACTTATAAACATTTTAAATGTTGTAGCAATAAATTTTTTTATGCATCCTGTTATTATCTATATATCGCATAAAACAAAATTAGATTTTAATTTAAAACTTATATATTTTATATTAAATTATATATGTATGTATTTATGTATGCGTGGTAATCATATATTGTCTGTATCATAATGATCACAGTAACCTTGTGGAATGTTTTTATTTTGCTATTTTCTTTAACAAGTGAAAGAAGAAGAGAAAAGAAAAAATATTTTTATTATTATTATTTTTTTTTTTTTTCTTTGGTCACTTGATTTCATTAAAAATTTGAATGTTTGCAATGTGTGCTTGTACTTCTGTTCATGGTTCGTTTAAATTCTCAAACAACTAACACAAAAAAAAAAAAAGAAACAATTAAAAAAAAAAACTCAGTTTTCTTATGTAATTATGAATAAAAAGCGATAAGAAATACGAATTATTTTAGAAATAGAACCAGAACTGTAATCGGAAGAGAGGAGAAAATGTTAATTGTATTTTGTGCAATAAACAAAAAATGTATTAAAGAAGAAAATAAATTTAAAAACCATTTATTGAATTTACTTGAAAAATTTTAAAATTAAATTGAAAAACGATTTTTTTTTTTTTTTTAATTCTTCTAAACACACATTTTTCAATATGCTGATGACTTTCTATTGGTTCCTGCTGGAAGAGATCTTTAAGAAGCAATAACTTCTAAAGCTAACCTCTTTTTGAAACTTGTTCATACCTCTATCTTAACTTCGATCCAAGCAAGAAAGCAACTCAATTTATTTTCTAAAAGATTCATGGTAAGAATGGAAGATCTGTTAACCAGGAGACCCTGGTTCCCTGGATCATTAACGCAAGTTTAACGTGCCAACAACACTACTCTAAAGTTCTAAAGTTCTAGAAATCAATCTGGGTTAAACATCGTCAAATCATTGACCTGCCTTCAGGCGGGACTCTCCCTAGAGAAAGCGCTCACCATTTAAATATAGAAAATTCCGCAAGCTTGTGAACTATACTACTAAACCATTTTCCCTTCAGAACAAACTGCTAAGACGATGCACACGTCTCTCCTCCTCGACCCTGGTTGCGGATCTAAGAGCCACATATGGTGAACTACCGATCTCTGAGAGAGCTCTGCTTCTGACGGCAAAAGAGATTCAAAATTATCCGACAATCGCATTTCCGGATGATAGCTTTCAGGCGATGCAAAGGTACACAACGTGCTATATGGACCTCTATCCTATTGCGGATCTTTGTCCAAAACATCTTTCATACATACATCTTTCACACGTTAATACTTAATAAAACAAAAAATTTTCCAAAGCTGAGTCTTCGAGCAGCGTGTCGGGAAACGATATTCGCCAATCAAGGTTTTGTTCTAGACGTAGCCTTTTCACTGAAATGAAATGATTCCGTGGTAGAAATATTCTTAAATTCTCCTCTATATAAAGGCGCTTAATCAGTTGACTAATTTCTAATCCTCTCTCCGAAACCAAAAGTATATTCGCTAACTTTTGACAACAACAACAATTAAACTAATATATCCAGTAACGTGATGAGTTTTTAACATAAGTTGTTCTTTTGGGTTTAAAGTAGATAGGTAGAGGCAGTAAAGACGAAGAGCTTTGGTTTTTGCGTGATGCTTCGACGATTTCGGTCTGTCCTTATAATGAATTATTTATGCTGTAGTAGCCCATTCAGTATGAGCCATTCAGGAGTTCAATCCAGAAGATAAAATGTCAAGTTAGGGCTTAGTGCGAATTATTGACTTATGGATTGATAAGATTTTGTAAAATTACGACTACACCTCACGAAAAGTTTATTTATAATTTTCTTGTCTTAGAAAGAGAAGTTTGCAGTTTTAATAAAAGCAATTATTTACATGAGATGGGTTTTGTTGCGAAAAAAATAATCGGATGTGTAGTCCAGTAACCACCAATAGTCATTTTAGTTTTATTCACATTTTAATTATATTTATACTTACTACATTTTTCAAATCAACGGGTCAATGCTTTTGCTTTGTGATTCCATTCGCATTTGTGCATCCTAAAGATATGCTACAATCGTTCAATAATCTTAAGGTATAGCGACGTGGGATTTCGTGGGAATTTTTACCCTACAAAATTTAAATACCATAACTCAAGCTGCGTTACAATGGATTTTTTTCTTAGTGATAACATGAAATTTTGAGAGAATCAATCACTTTTCGAATCGAGTTAAACTTGTCTGTCTGTCTTCTTTCCTTATGTTCCTTAGTTTGATAAAATCCGTTCACCAAGATGTTTTGGCCCAATGCTATTTAAAATGGTTTGGATCAAACAACAAAAGCGATTTAGGGTATTTAAGACTAGACAACAGCATAACGCTTACACATTGCACTTTTCTTCATGCGTGAAAGTAAAAAAAATAATCTTAGAGCTTACGAAATGCCAAAACTGAAGGATGAAGTTAAAAGAAAGTAAGGGAATAGAAATATTTAATGGTGCGTGGGAAACGGTAAGAATATTCTTCTAGGTATTGTCCCTACGCTCCGAAATAATATTGAATGTTTGTCCCAATTTATTTGGCAGCAGATATTCTTGGATCAATTTGTAATGGCCCAGTTGAAAATTTGCAATAATTTGTTTTTAAGTTTACATGTTTGCGTGTTATATGGATAATTAGGTCTAAACAGATTCATTACGCCGTAGTGGTGATTAAATTATTTCAAAGCGTGCTTATTAGGAAATCATATAAATCTTAATAAATTTTGAGTGAATCTTAAGACGAAATCCGTTGACATTTCCAATAAGCTAACTATCCTATATAGTTCTGACATATGCATACCATAAACATCTCTGAGATTATTATTTATCCATAACGTAATTAACAATTTTTAACAATTTTTCGAGGATAAACATTTTATGGGCACTTATTAACAGTTTTAAAATGTTTTTATACTCACCGGAAAACAGGGGCGTGCAGCCATTAGTTTTAAAAGACTACCTTTTAAGGATTTTCTTTTTTCTACTGTCAAAATATGTACACTTTACGTACTTTTGAATTCTGAATTCAAATCTGATAGCATAAAATCGCATACGAGTTCTATTGATATAAAGACTTCACGTTTGCATGCATGTACAGTGTAAATGTAAAGTTGGCTTAATTAACTTTACGCGTCATTTAGAAGTGCTATATGCTCACGCATCATAGATTGAGGGCCGCAATCGATGTACTCTTGTGTTTGTAATACTCCATTAATACACTACAGAGTCCCCATGAATCATGTATACCATCTGCAGTGAAATGTTTAGCTTTTGCTAAAAATTCTGCCCGTGTGTTCGTCCATGCGTATATATATTGTCTGTTATTGGTAATCTTACGATAGCAAAAACTGAGTTTTAAAACATTGTTAATGACCATCACTTACTGACAGTTAATTAAAAGAGAAAACCTGCAGACCATAACAATTTGCCATTTGATATAAGTATTTACGAAAACTTTCTAAAGGTGTAGTGGGAAAATTCGTATTTTGACGACACATAACCTAGCTATGATAGAGTAAAAGCCATTACTTATTATTTATAAAAAATATTCCTTCAATATATGTAAATTCGATAAATTCCCAAAATAAAAATTGTTAGGACCGTTAGAACCAAGAGGTCTACATTAGAACAAATATTTTGTAAGTATTATGTATCAATACGACAAAGTAGGTACGAAAAATGCTACAAAATTTTTTTAAAAGATCAACAGAGGTTTTCCTTTTCTTTTTTTTTTTTAGGCACAGACAACATAGCCTTATCATCTTCTTTAATCACATGACGTAGCGGAACTATTTCGAACATTAATTTTGCCAAGATTAAGATTATCTGCTTAGAGATGAGGAGGATGGGGTAGTTCCTAATAAGAACATAGCTAAGCTGCCAGCATTATATTATCCATATGATTATCCAAAACTTTGCCCAGTTTATCGATTTAACTTTATTGACTTACTTTATTGTATTCCGTGTTAATTATTATCATTACTCGACGACGATTCCGACTCATTAAAAAACTTCACATTACAAGTTAATACATACTTATTTAAGTTGAATGAAACTGCCGCCAAAACAAATCGAACTTAATTCGCTAGTTTTATTGAATCGCGATTACATCATCAGTTAGACGAAACGACGCGACGAGTAGCGGCGTGAACATTATTTAACGAATAAACATTATTATTAATAAATATGTATATACACTTATGTATGTATGTAATAAAATTAATTGACTTAATCTTAGAGGTTCTCGAAAACCAACAAAACTTAATAAAACAAAGTTTTTAACTGATTTGAAACGCGAACCATATGCTACACAGGTGTGGCGATAACTTACGGGGGGAGGTGAAAAAATCGTATAGAAATAATTAAATAAGGATAGATTAAGATATTAAGACGATCAGGGACGAGAACAAAAGATCAAATTGATTCTGAAATACTCAATGAATGAATGAATGAATGGATGAATGGCTTTATGCGTTGAAGTTCATTAAAATATTGCATTGTTTCGTAACGCTAATGATTGTTGTGATACTGGTACTTGTACATAGTTGTTGTTGTTAATATTATTATTATTATTATTAATATTATTATTATTATTAAAGCCATGATTTAAAGCTAGAACTTTATTAACTATATTGAATTCTTCTAAATTACGTAACGGATTAGCTTGATTAGATCTAAAAAAGAAATTACCTGAAACCCCCGAATGTGGTTGCGGTTCTCTTTGACGTTGATGATATTGTAGAGCGTTTTGTTGCAATTGAGAATTTATTTGTGGTTGCAAATATTGCCGATAGAAATTTTGATTTTCAATTAATTGTTGTTGCGTTGCTGATATTGCGTTACTGGATTGCACTGGCACTTGAGTTAAGCCGAAATTGCCGGTATCTGTGTTTTGCCGAAACAATCGGAGCCGATTTTGTTGCTGTTGTGATTGCTGAGGTTGTTGTTGTTGTTGTTGTTGCTGTTGTTGCTGTTGTTGTATTTGTTGTTTATCGAAAAGAGTATTTGTAACATATTGTGGTACAATTGCTGCGTTCAGAAATTGTTGATGACTGCGTTGCGGTAGACTCTGCACTAACGACAATTCTGCAGGCGGTTCAGCCAACGATGATGTTGGAAAATTAGCACCTGACACAACATTAAATTGATTCGATTCCTGTACTTGGAAGTTTGTATTGCTTGGAATATTTGCTTTAGTTTTGTGCAAATTCAACCGTTTGGCATTACTATTGAAAAATTGCTGCTGTTGTTGTTGAGCATGTTGTGCTTGTTGGGGAGAGCTAATTAAATTACTCGGAAATGTATTACTATTGCCGTTAATGTTAACATTGCTGGCGAACTTTGCATTCAACTCTCTTAATGGCAATCGTCGTTCTACCGGAAATGTGGGGTAATTGGATGAAATTTTTGCCGTTGTACTGGCAGGTATGAATTCGACTGAAGGACGTATGGTAAAGGTGAGCTCTTGAGGTTGAGTTTGTATTCTATGCTGTGGTTGCTGGATAATCGCATTTGCTGGCCGTGCTATGACTGCATTTCGCAATTTCTGTTGGTCTTCAAGTAATTTTAATTGACGTAATATAAGTTCTTGTTGTTGTTGAGCTTGTAATTTCAATTGATAGATTTGTTGTTCCAGTTCACGCTGTCTTTCAATTAAATAGTTGTTTACATTGTTATTGGGGGGCAACGGTTGATTAATAGCAGAAATTAAGGGTTGTTTCTAAAAATTGACAGAAAATTAGAATATTGTTTATTAGTTATTCTAGTCTCACTTATAAGGAATAGTTACCGTTATATAATGACCACTAGTAGGATGAAGATTTGAGAAAATTGTCGGTGTTGTAGCAAGGGTCGACAGTGCAGGCGACACTGTGGGTAAAAAAGATCCAGGTTTCCTATTCAACGCAGCAGATTGTCCTGATAAGACATTCAGCTTTGTAACGGCCGGTCCTAGCAGCGGTGGACTACGAAAGGGTGACAAATTGCGCTGTGTACTGGAAGGAGGCATAGCAATTGTAGCTGGTGCTGGTACATTAACGATTGGAACAACTTTTTTCGCAGCACCCATTTCATCGATATCGACAGTAAAGGCGCTAACTAAAGGAGCAGCTTGTATCCGAATATCATCTTTAGCAACTACTTCAATATTTTCTCCATCCTCATTGTGTGTAGGACGAGGTGTCGTAGTAGTTGTTGTCGTTGTAGTCGTAGTAGTACGTTTCTTTGTAGCTCTAGGAGGTATAGCAGTCGTGCTAGTTGTACTAGCACTTGTTGCCGCCTTAGAGCTAAGCACTTCGAATTTGATATCGTCAAGATCGTGTATAATAATTTCGTTTCCTTTAACTCTATTCTTAACACTTCTCGCTGTTTGATGATTATTTTGCACTTGTGCGGTGTTAGCTTTTACAATCGGTAAAGGTAGATTTTTAAATTTCTCACTATCTACGAAATCCATGTAATTTTGTTGTTTAGCATTCTTTTCATCAAAAGTAGCCGTAAAAAATTGTACTAACGAGGATGCATCAGATGAGTTTGTACTTTCTTTGACTTGTACATCTACTGATTTGTTTTCATTTGTTTCCGCCACATCATACTCTCCACTCCCACGATCATCATATTCCGCAACATCCTCGTCGCGTTCGTCGTTATCTTCATCGGCTGCTTCTCGTTCAAGCTTATCTATGGCACGTAGTAGAGCTTGTCTTACAGATAGGTCCAATCTCTGTATGGCCTCACGTGGTATTATCTCATTAGTTTCCGTTGAACTTCCATCATCGGCCTGAGCACAATGTGATGCCAATAAGAAAAACAAAAGGCAGGTAATGTATGTCTGTAAATCAAAAAAAAAATAAATAAAAGTTAATGAATAAATAAATAAATAAATAAAAAGGAAAAAAATTATAATAAATTGTTTTTATATTAACATACATTAAATGACCCGAAGATAGATATCTTTAAAGCAATAGCATTATTCAACTTTGATACAACGAATTAGTTAATCCAGCTGTTACGCCCCATATACAGTTACTTTTGCACTTTTCATATGCATAAAATTACGCAAATTTATAATAGGTTGTCCAAAAAGCAATTTCGATGTTTTAGTATAGAATAAAAAGCTCGCATTCCGTTGCATGAAGAATCAAGCTTTATCAAGCCCACCCAGACTAGACTGCCTTTCATACGAAAATTGCATTATATCTGTGCATGAAATTATGCGCATAGCGATATTAAGAATAGAATTAGCTTTTATATGTACGTTTTATTAACTTTTGATTGTAACCGGCTTACAGTCAAGGGAAGTGATAAAGTTCACGAAATTTAGGGAATTTTGCAGATCACTAACCGCCATCTTTTTAATGGAGAATAAAGCTTTCCATTTATTCTACACCACTTGTGATATAGGTGTATATTAAGCTTGTGCGGATGTATGAAACATCCACAAAAAATTGGAATAGACTTGTGTTCATATTTGATACACTGGTGTGCTTTGCCCCACATAAGGAGCAACGCTATAGATAATTATTCAGATGGAAGGACGTTTCGACTACGTCCCACGTATGATATTTATTTTGAAAAGACGATTATTGGATATTTGTAGGGTGATATAGGGTATTTAATTTTTTGCCATGTCGCCCCCATAGCGTTTTCGCTTATTATATGCAATGGATCCGCCTGAGTAGCCGAAGGGGAGGAATCTCGACTACCAAGTCAATGGTCGTGGGTTCGAATCTCAAGTGCGGTAGAGTTTTTAATAAAAAGCCGATAGCCTTAGATGCTAGTGCTTTTAAGAGTTTAGTCTTAGAATTTATTTCTCTGGCGAAATTAATAATAATAATAATAATAATATATGCAATGGAATTTTAGTTGATTTTATCATGAGACTTACTTAAGTCTATGTTCTCATATTTCTGCCAACTTTTTTAATCCTGGGTTCACTGCCTTATTATTAAAAAAAAAAAGGCAATTATCAATGAAAATTTTATCATCTAACAAGTTTTGCGAACCCTTGATATGAAAAGTAATCAAGGGGACTTCAGATTTCAAGCCCTCCTCATTGTATGCGATTGGTTTGTTGGTTTAATAGCATTACAATAGTAATTGTTAGCAAGCACCTGTGTGTGTGTGTCTCGTGATCTTGTTCCTTCGACATAACTTAAAGGAATATCAAGGCAACATGGTAATCTTTCTTTTGTTTTGTTCTTTATAATAAAACTCAAGTTTCCGGTTCCGTTTGTGTTGGATGTGCTACCAATGAGCTTGAGTTAGAATTGTTGTTAAACTTTTTTTTTTCTTTAAAGTTTTCTCTTTCAATGTTAACGAAGCACATTAAAAGATTGCGACTGTAATATATGTGGTACCCCATGGCGTATTTAAACTAATGGAAATAATTGTTTAAATGGAAAGCATAATCTAGGCTTAAGCTATATATGCACAGTTTTGTACAGTTACATAATGGAGGCTATGCGTTAGGATATTAACTGAGACTTTTTTTTTTTGACAGCAACAACAATCGCATGGCTGGCATATAGACGACCTTCACGTGAAATGCTATCTTAATATGGAATCTTTTGAATTAAATCCGATATACGTGATTTTTATTTTACACATTTAACGGTATAAACTTCACATGCATACATATTTTTAAGCTTAGGTAGCTTTCTTTCACTTATGGAAATGAAATTTGTTATTAATGTATCGAAAAGCAAACAAAAACAAAAACAATAATAAATGAAAAGAGGAATTGATTTCGCAAAAATGTTCACAATTTGTTTGTCTCGTTATCTAAATGCAACTTATCCCATATGGAGAATATGTAATACTTATGAAATTTTCCTTTCAAGCAATCATACAACTACCCATGCGTGAATACCGAAAATAACTCTTTGCCAACTCAATATAACTCATACAAGCATACGAACACCTGTATGCAGTTATTATGTTTAGATAATTATGCCAGTTTAAAATTGAATTTTTTTTATTTTTTTTCTTTTCTTGTTTTGATTAAAATCCCAAGTGATAGTTAGTTACTTTACTTTATTTTACTATTATAAAGGAAAAAAATTTCAAGCCGTAATTGAGAAATTATACAACACTTTGCATTTTACCGCAATTGATATTTAAGATAACTGCTGTGATACAATAAGCTTAGTTAGGTTTTTTTTGATTTTTCTTTTTTTACTCCTTGGATGATGATGAAGTAATTTTAAATTGAATAGTTTTCATTTAGAATTTCGTGCTTTGCATTTTTTTTTTTTTTTTGGCGAATTTAAAATAATTAATTTATAAACGCGACTTGTGTTTACAACAAGTTGTTGCATTATTTTACGAATAAAAATCAAACAGCTTGCAGCTACACGATACACGATAGTTCACGTTTTCGGCATTTGCCATTACACCTCGGGTTCTTTTTGATTATATCCATCACATAGCCGGTGCATTAATTTTGTCAGAGCTTTTGTACCGATCTATGTACAAACAGGCATCGAAGACATGATGAAGGACTTGCTTTTTGGGTCGCGTGACCCGTCCGATTCTATCTATCTTCCTTTGTCCGTAAGTCTTCCCGGAGAACAGAGATTATTTCGTTTGATTAAATCTCGGAATATGCTAAACTACAAGAAACCTCGATGGGATAGCTTATCCAGTAGTTTTTGATGGCCTCGTCGGAGATGGAAAACCAAATCATTCAACGACTACGCTTACATAGAATATTACGCTTGAAACATATTATCTTCAGTATAATAATAAAAAAAAATAATGAATAGTGACCAGGTGAAATAGTCACAATAAGTCAAAGAAACAATTTTCTCTTTTATATTCTATACTGCTTCACAACCTACACCTACCAAAATGTACTATGTAAACAAAATAAAACATCATTAATATTTAATGTGAAATTTGATACATTTGTTGTTTGTCATTCGCCCGTCAGTTTCTGCATCATTAACGCATTTCGCTCAATTAGTTTCATTTTCATTAAGTTGAAAGGTGAATCAAGCTTTCAATACAATTATTATAATTTAATGAAAAAAAAAAAAAATGGGAAAAAATTTATTTTGGCTTTTATGATTATTTTGATATCAACTCTTAATTTGCGTGCGATACTTGATATTAAAAATGAATGAAAAATTACTTGCTTAACATAGCTTATACCTACTGTACTTATGTACGTATATAATGTATGCTCAACACAAGATTTTTAGAAACCCTGGCATTGTGGCATAACAAAGTGCGTTAAGTAAATCTACACAAAGCGTATAATTAAAGGCGAGCCCTCGATTTCAATAATTTTTGAATCAGGTAAAAATTAAAGGCACAGCTGTAAAGGGGGAATTCTATAAAATGTTCATTTGAATTTCTATGAATACAGTTTTAAAAGCAGATACAAATATATTGTGCACTTTAATCAAAAGTGTACACAGTTTGTCACATCCCCGATGCATAGTTCATATTCGTAGTCGTATCCACACTAATACCTTCCACAAACCTGTCGTATCCACACTAATACCTGCCACACATCTGTCACATCCACACTAATACCTTCCACAAACCTGTCATAATCACACTGGCATGAATTATGATCAGTGCTTTCCAAACCTTTAAAAAATTTAGGCAATCCTCACTGTATTGAGATAAAATTAAAGTTTAATGATTCGGTCTATAAGGCTTCGATAATTTTTTTTTATGAATTTTTTATCCATTATTGGTAACCCTATTTCTTCTTTGGATAGTACAATGTGTTAAGGATATTCTGCCAAAGTTTTAAGTCAATCCGATCAGAATAGGGAGAGAGAACAGCTTACAATTTCTACTCTACTACCCAAACTTTATTCGCTATTTTCTCAATCACCTATGGGTGATGATAATTCTTTATGATCAAGCTTACTTATATATCCTGTCTGTTTATCGAACTGGTTTACCTTTCTGAGAACTATTTGTAAGATAGTATTTTTAAGACAATCATAAAGATCATTGCCTATCTCTATGTGATTAGTACGGACCACTCAATACAACTTTGAACGCAAACTTTAACTCAGTGTTAGTAACATAGATTGCCCTCCAAGTCTTTCCGAAGTTACTGAGTTTCTAAGTTTCACTTGTCAGTCTTTCCAACTAAATAATACAAAGGAAATGTAATTCCGTTTCCTATCCATTTAATGCACATAATCAAAAACTTTTATTGCGTAACATTACTTCTACTGAATTCGGCCGTTTACACTGCCGTATAGCATGCTTGATATGCTATATACAAATAACGAACATTGAAGACAATCTAATTTTTATTGTTTATTAATTTATCTGTAAAATGTTAGAAAATGTTTGATCATAAAATTTGAATTTCTAATTTTATACTAATTTTGAATGAATATAAACAACAAGTCAATCAGAAAACTAATCAATCGAGAGTTAATTCATAGATTATATCGGATAATAATAAATGGTTAATATTATGCATAAATTAATTAACTGAGCCATAATTCTGAGAAATGAAATTGATTATGCAAATGATTTAAAATGAAAGTGAGCAGATTTTTCTGTTTATTCCGATGACTATCGAGAAAACTAGAAATAAAAAAAAAATTGTCGCTTGACTTGCATGGATTTCTCAAGCCACAATTGCTCTCTTTGCTAAAAAATTGTTTTTTTTTTTTTTTTTTTGGGAGACTTTGATTGTAAGCGTTCGTTAACCAACGGTGGGCGATATGATTATCTTCGTAACTTTCGATCAACATATTGCCGCTGATGTGTTACCTTCAACTCCTTAAATGAATTCCACTGATTCGAGTTGACGAGGCAAGATTTTTGGGTAAGAGTTTGACAAGATCTTTA